AGAGTTCTCAAGACGCGAATTGCCGAACACGCGGCAGCAGTGGGCAAAATGATGTTAATTCTCAAGTTGCGGCTCATGCGACGAGACCCGGCCACACATTCAAATTTGATAAGGCCGAAATTCTCGCAGGAGGTAGCAATCGTGTGAGTTGGGAATTACCTGAGTCATGGTTCACGGGCACCCAGTCTATAAACAAGTGCAACGACCTGCCAAATCCATATTCACTGCTTAGGCTCAATTTGGCCAAAACAAGTCGCCACTTGGGGAACGCACAGGCCAACGCGTCGTCTTACGCCAACACCCGGGAAACCATATGGCTGAGCATTCACCACGAGTGATGCACATTCAGCAAGGCACGGCACTCGTGCCGGTCATCAAGCAATTAGCACACAAGAGGATAATCATCGTTTATTGTCATACGTATGCAGTAATGACTGTATCCTATCAATAATGCAACTACCTGTGCATGTTTTACCCGTTTTTTATGTTGTTGTTTTCTACTGATGTCTCTGATGAAGAATCCGCGATGGATGTCGAAGCATCAGGCGAATAAAAGTCTTCTCCTGGTGATCACATCTTCTTCTTCTCGCTCACTTTCTTGGACTCGCGTGTTTGCTTGTATTGACACTCTCCATCGCCAATGCCGGTGAGGCAGATTTCTGAGTAATCATCCAACTGATGTGATCAACTTTCAGGAGTTAACGAGCCAAATGCTAGCCATCAAGCTGTTAGCGCACGAGAGGCTACTCCGACACGAGGATGAAGTAAGCTATTGTTTGTCATAATTAAGTGGTAGCGTACGTACGTACTGTACTCCTCTGCGTATGTATAACCCATATTTAATGACATTTCCGCTGGTTAACATGGGAACCCCATCAGGGTACGGCAGGCACTTTTCGGATTGTGTTGCCTTAACAAATGCCAAACATGTGGGGCGTGGTTGCAGGCATAGGGGTGGCCTCGGCTGCGCCAGCCCACTGCGCCCGATTCTGCCTCCAGTCTTCTTGACTTTATTTTGACACCGGGCACAGGTGGGTGAGAGAACTGAGAGTGCGGTAGATGCTTTGCAAGTCTACTTTAACTTAAAACTAATTCACGCGCAAGTCACTGCGCTTGCATTCAGCTTGTTGAAGCACGCGGTGGACATCTTCGAACTCGACAGTAGAACTATCGAGTGCTGACGTCTCCGACGATGAGTTCGAGCATGAATCTCAAAATTTCAGACTAATAGGATTCTTGTCCCAGCGATCGTGTCTTCTTTTTTCCCGGGTAGCCGACCTCTATTAGTAGACCAGTTTTCCGAATAGCAACTCATTCTGCTCGTTCCTTGTGTACGTCACAAGGTTGAAAGACTTTTCGTGACCTTTAGGACACAGTTCATACAGGGGTGTAAACTTTCATACTTTAAATGGGGGGTTTCATGAAACAAATTATAATCTTAGATTTTAAAGAGCATACAGTCAGACCAATAAAGTACCTTTGTTGAAAAGAATTTTATATGGGACAGTGCGCATGAATCCATAAATTAGAAATGTCAGACATGTGCTGGGCGACAATAAAGCGGCTTCACATGTTGCGTTAATGTTCTGTCTTGCTTAAAATGATGTTTTTGAGAAATTTTACTAACTAATTAGTGCACAGTGTTGTTAATCAGAGGTGTGTGGCAAGTGGGCCTTTCTGGAGTCAACAGTTCCGCATCCTCGTTCACAATGAGACTGGTTTCATCAGCGTGCTCAGGTAAGAATTTAATGATGTCTGAGCTTCCTCGTCCATCCAGTTTATAACTCAAGAAAATGCGGAGAAAGTATGCCGTGAAGAGAAATACCTAAAAAAAAGATAATTGGGGGAGGGGGTAATATGCAAGGGTTCAGTTTTATTAAGGAAAAATAGGAGAATGTCTTCCAGCTCCCTACATGTTACAAAGTGGCTAGGAAATGTATCGATACAAAAGATAAATTCAGAAAAAATACGTCAATTGTGCGCTTGCAGGCGAAAAGCGAGCAGCTGTTGGCTTGCCTTAAGATTAAGTACATATGATGACTCACTTAGCAAGATAAGTATCATAAGTGTAAGTAGTTGTCTGGTCACAAGGTGCTGGGAAATTAAGTAAGATGGGTTGGTGTAAGATGAGAACAGTGATAACGGGGGTTTTGTGGGTAGAAAAGCGTGAAACAGCAGGAGGAAAATGGTTTCAAAAGTAGTGTGCAGACTGTGGTAACGGTTTGTTTAAGTGAGTGAATAATTAATTGGCATGGTGTCACGTCGTTCACAAAATGGGAACAGGGAGACAATAACAGAATATGAGGCGTAGGATAAAATCTTACCGACGAAAGGAATTATTAATGTGAACCGTACCGAAAGGGAAAGGCAGAAATTTTGGGCAACAAATACAAGACATGCGAATAGAATCAATAAGAATTATATCTCCTAATCTAACACCCCCTCATTCCCAACCTGAAACTATATCTCTAAATCTAACCTCCAACCCAAAAATATATCTTTTAATCTAATCTATGCACTCACCCAATCTCTTCCTGAAGAACATGCCTCTAAATCTAAGGCTCTTTCTAGTTTCGGCCTCAAACGCGAGTTACCACACGCCCCGCGTGTAATAGGTCGCTGATAGCGGACAGCGGTAACACTCAAGGCGGTGCACATACCTCGGAAGCCTTCGGGAGGGGGTGAGAGGGTCAAAGATGTATAAAGTGAATAAAAATTGGATCGTGTGGTTACCTGGACTAGGAAACATAAGCACATTGCCAATAGGCATGCGACTACGGCTAATTCTGGCCGGTTCCAATTGATTGCAGGATAGATTATACCATTGCCTGTGTAACCTGCATACTTTGCAACCCAGTAGATGCAGGTGAAGAGAGCATAGAGGACACCCAGACACAGGGAGTAGATACCATGCAGCAAACGGATGGGAATATTGTTCAAACCCAGGTCCAGCAGAACCAGAATGGCAGGTATTGTGTGTTTCAGCTTCGCAGACAGTCGGTAGAATTCCTCTTGAAAAGTAAAGTAGAGACAGATATGTGCGAGTAAAAACACTGCTTTCTCGCTTATAGTTGGACGTAGCAAACATCCAGTTGTTTAGAAATATTTTCATGATTTATTAAAACTTCACTCAGACGGTAATTTGTCTCCTTTTTGTCCACTGCGTATCGGGACCTGTGTCATGTAGACTGATAAAATTTACCGGAATTAAATCATACAATGAGAATGCTAGCACGTGCTGGATGACTCTCTTGCGGCGCGTTAATGAGTATTCGCGAACGGTCGAAAACGTCCGCACATTTAAACACACTGAATTACCAGTAGACATCCGCACTGTGTTGTAGGGCATCCAGGTACATAGTTGTGCAAAGCTAAATTGTTAAAATCGATAAAACATTTGGTTGTCTGCACTAAAAATATTCTAGCTCGAACTTAGCATCAGAGTCGGTTGCCACGTGCCTACTCCAATCGGCGGATCTGGTATTCATCGTTCGTGGTTGCACATGAAGCGATGGTTGTTCGTTAGTCCGCGTCCGAGTAATTAATTGAGGAAATTTCACCACCGTTCCCGATTCTTGACGTGAGTGTGGTTCGGCAATGTGGCTCGCTGAAACGTTTGACCGTCCGCGTCCTCCTGCATGGCTAGGTAGGGTATCATCAAAGAATATTGAGCCGCGAGGTCATTGCATTGCGGGCCAGAGCACCAAGACTCAAGTAGTATACGGTTCACACTGTTGACTCGGCAATGTGGCTCGCTGTCCTTAGTTTATTCAATCGGTTGTCTTTTTTACCGCAGGAGTACATCTTTAAATGTGATCTGTTTTAACAGGATAACAACTGTATCCGTCGTTGATGAACGTTCACCGATCGCCAACTGAACTGACCCGCCCTGTATTGGGCCTCGACAGAGGTCCTGACAGCCGTTGCAGCTGGAAGTATAGGCAGATAGTATTGCCGGCTCTGATCAAAAAAGGTCACGATTTCGAGGCTCGGGTGGGGCACCACTTAGATCTGGGTGTGACTGGCTGACGACGGCTAATAAGCCAGAACTAGCCATTCCAGTCTCCCCTGTCTTTGCCAGCTATACTATCTGCCTATATTATCGACTGTATCCCTGCTGAAACTCTTCGTTTAAAAAGTGGGTATTCAGTGCACTATACTACCAGCAATACCTTTGAAAACAACTGTGGCTAATCAATGCGTAGACACCTTCATGGTGAAAACTTCATGCATTAATATGCGCAAAATTCGAGGTTAAGATATAATATTCCTTTCATCATCCCCGGAAGAAGAAGAAGGGGCGATTTCTGGGACCAAGTTGTATTTAAGCTGACGTTTCAAAAGCCTTCTCGCTTCCATCGTCAGAGTATGATGACCGTTCTCCTGCTGGTGTAAGTAAGTGTGTCCAACCGTTAGCCTGATGCCTGATGCCAGCGTGTCAATCGATTGTACCGATCAATTTTTGTGGCTGTTTTTATTACTTGCTCCTTCGCGGGCGTTTCGATGAGGCGGGTTGAGTCATTTGTGTGCATCCTGAGCGTTTCCACCTTCTTTGCTCGCGGCTGTCGGCCCTGCGTATCTTCTTCCGCCCGACCTATTGCTCCTTTCTGAGCAGATGTTAGCCTTCCGCAGAGCGCTTGGTAGGCGGGATGAAGGGCTATT